ACATACATATAGTCCTCCCAAATGTGTATACACTTTACAGCTGATAGTCCAATTTTGAAAATAAAATGTACTTTAATAAACACTGCCTTTATAATTATTCAAAGTATGTGTATATATTCTTGTTACCCAGGGCCCTATCCTTCCAACACCCAGAACGGACACTGGGCATATCCAGCACCAGCTCGGGGCCCATTGGCTCTTCTATGTAAGTACAACCAGTGTGTTGAGAAAGGACGTGGTACAGACACCCCAGTAGGTACCCTATAACAGGTGTTCTTGGCCTCTGTTGTACACACGTTACCCACTTAAATAATACACAGCTACGCACACTCACAGACACATGTCCAGAAACTGTCTAGTATTTGCACCACAAACACACGGAAAGAACATCATAATTATAAATGCAAAGGATGAAAATCTTCCCAGAAAATCTATAGTTGGCAAGCCTGGGTTTCAACCCGGGTTTTATATTAAACTGCACGCAGTATCAGAATGCTAGAACTGGAAGCAGAGACTACATCCTCTTTGAAAAGCCAATCAAGATGCAAACAGAACTGAAATGTTTGTCACTGTCAGTTGCTAGCTACTCCCAGTACCTAAATCTAAGTGCACTTGGTCTATACTTGGCCTGTGTTCCCATAAGATGCAGTGGTTTTGAGCACATTCTGTAGTCTGTGATTCTATGACCTACTTGCATTCTTCACAATGCTTATTTATTTCTTGCCGCTCTGCTGCCCAGCACTCACTACATAAGACATTATTCACAGCCTGAGTGGTCATTTTTCCTATACCGCAAATGCAGTACCCCCCTAGAATAAACAGGGTTGGCCCTGACTCCAGACTCCTTACTTAAGACCAGAGCACGGACCTCCCAAAACCACATCCCCTCTTGCCTCTCCCACCTCCAAACACTGTAAGATGGCTGCTCCTCAGTGGAACTTATTTCACTGAACAGCCTCTTGGCATCCATTTCTCTCTCACAACCAAACCGGTGGAAAGCTTGGAAGATGTGAAGGTAGCTCCACCCTTACTGACTTATTTATTCCTCACACTCACATTGTTTTGGGTATTCCTCTTAGTCCCTCTACAGTCTGGGTAGCAACATCATATTTCATAGAGAAGAAAACCCAGGCTACATAGGGTTGTATAATTTCCTTAAGGTCTCATTGCCAGTAGAAGACCTTGAACCTAAAGGGAACAGAATTCAGCTGCCCTAACTTAAAATGAGGTGTATTTGGTGGAGAAATGAAAAGATTTGCTGTGAATTTTAAAGCCACCCATGTATGAATCATATGTATCAAGCTTCCAATATACTCCAAACATTTATAAATACAATAATAATAATTCACTGTCTCAATGCTTTCAACAATACTAATCCTATCTAATAGACAAACATGGTAATTAACCATACCTCTGCTACGCTTCCCATTGGCTAATCAGGGTGATATGCAAATTAACTGCCAACCAAGATGGCGGCCAGCAGCCACGCAGCTGAGCATTGTTTTCTTATCCATTCAATCACCCTATGTCTTTTGAGTGGAATGTTTAATCCATTTACATTTAAAGTAATTATTGATAGTTATAGTTATGTAGTTATTGCCATTTTATTATTCATATTTGTTTTTCTTAAAGAAGTCCTTTTAACATTTGTTATGCTGGTTTGGTGGTGATGAACTCCTTTAGCTTTTTCTTGTCTAGGAAGCTATTTATCTCTCCTTTGATTCTAAATGACACCCTTAGTGGGTAGAGTAATCTTGGTTGTAGGTCCTTGCTTTTCATACTTTGAATATGTTATGCCACTCCCTTCTGGCCTGCAAAGAGGCCCCCTATACCCACACTATGGCAGTCACCCCTTGTTCCAGACCTGATGGTTTCCTCAGCTCCCAGAGTGCTCTCACAGTTCCCCAACTTTCTCTCTGCCGTCTCTCTCTCTTGTTTGTTGTGCAGAAGCTGTTCAGTTGGCCCTCAGTTGTCTTTCAGGAGAATTGCTAATTATAAGTATTCAGTTGATATGTTCTTGGGAGGAGGCAAGGTCAGCATCCTCCTATGCTGCCATCTTGGACCCTTGAGTTAGGATTTACCTGTAAGAAATCATTAATGAGCAGAGAGTATGTATGAGAAAGGAACAGTACAGAAATAAATTTTAAAAAGGAATTAATAAAATATCAGTTCATGTGGCTATTGAAGTTAGATGCTGTTGGAATTGAAAGAATATTGGTGTGTGACTGAAGGCTTTCCATTCCAGTTGAATCCAAAATTCTGAGACAACACGTTTTGAGATCACCTTCAATTAACCTACTTCACAACCTTAACCATCTTATTGAAAACTTTTTGGCCACTTTTCTATCTTACAAATAATTTTTTTGTACTCATTTTTGAAGGTCCTAGAAGTTTTCTTTTTTCTCACTTATCTCTTGTTGGTTTCTCTCAGTAACCTGTGGAATTTCTTTTTCTTTTCAAAGAAAGAAACCAAACCCAGAAGTAGAATCAAAGAAATGAAAAGCATCATGTTTTAGGAAGGAGAAAGACAGATATAAGAGGCATTGTTTGTAGCTGCTAAGGTTCACATTGACTTCCTTCTCTACACTAATAAAAGACAAACATGCAAATTGACCATACCTTCGCTATGCCTTAAGCCACACCCACCAGCCAATCAGAGCGACTATATGCAAATTAACCCAACCAAGATGGCGGCCAGCAGCCACGGAGCTGGAGCAAGCAGGAGGCTTGGTTGCCCCAATGATGGATGAAGCCAAGCTTCCCAGCTGCCGCAGCTGGCTCTGAGCTCCACTCAAAGCAACAAAGTTTCAATTATAGAAGGTAAATAAACCCCAGATACCTGCTTTCAGCCGGCTGTAACCAAGTATTTATAAAAGAAGCCACACTGAGTCTGGTAGCAAGGGCAGAGATGTAAGAAAAGGCAGGCCCAACTCCCACATGTGGAAGCTGAGATTCCACAAGAATGTGGAGAAATGGGAACCCTAGTGCACTGTTGGTGGGTATGCAGATTGTTGCAGCCACTGTGGAAAGCAATATGGAGTTACCTCAAAAAAATTAAAAATGGAACTGCCTTATGACCCAGCAATTTTACTTCTGGGAATATATCCAAAGAAACTTGAAACACTAATTTGAAAGAATATATGCATCCCTATGTTCTTACAGTTTACAATGGTCAAGATTTGGAAGCAGCCCAGGTGCCCATCAGTAGATGAGTGGATATAAAAGCAGTGGTACATTTATACAATGAAAATACTACTTGGCAATAAAAAAAAGAGGAAATCTTGCCTTTTACACAGCATGGATGGACCTTGAGAGTTTCATGCTAAGTGAAATAAGCCAGTCAGAGAAAGAAAAGTACCCTATGATTTCAGTTATATGTGGAATGTAATGAACAAAAGAAACTAACAAACAAAAGAAAAACAGACTTGTAGACATAGAGAACATACTAACAGAGTGAAGGAGTTGGAGTGCTGGCTGAAATAGTTGAAGATATTAAGGAAAGAAAAAAAAGCCTCATAGACACAGACAACATTATGGGGATTACTAGATGGGAAGTGAGGGGGTCAGGAAGAAGAGGTTAAAGGGGGAATAAATGTGATGAAGGAAACTTGACTTGGGGGGGTGAACACACAATCCATTATACAGATGATGGATTATAGAGTTGTACACCTGAAACCTATATAATTTTATTAACCAATGTCACCCCAATAAAAGTAATAAGGATTTAAAAAAATAAAGTAAAATTTAAATTATTTTTAATCCAGGAAGATAGAAGCAAACAATTGTTTTTATCATACCCTTAATAACATAAAGCAATGACAGAATTGAGGTCAAACATACATTTTTAGCTGATAGAATAGATGGGTTAAATTTTTCTATGAAAATTCCTCAAAGTAGGTTAAAAAACAAATATGACAAAATAAATCTCACATAAAGGTTACATATACAATAAAAAATAGATTAAAAATGAGAAGTAGTCAAAATAGAATAGGGGAGTGAATGCATTAAAGTAACATTTGCAATCGGATTAGCAGATAGAAATTGAGACTTAAAAATATCAACAAAGCAAAAAAATTATAATTAATTATTTTATATTGATGTTAATTATCTATAAAGAAGTTTTACAAGTCAAAATGTGTATAATAGCCTTAATCAAAATGTTAACATGTGTTAAACACAAAGAAATTGTGTCTAATATCTTTTTAAGGTGGCTTAAGCATATTTGAATTAGATTGAAGAGAGTAATTTAATGCACATATGGTTAGAATAATATGATGGAAAAGTTTAATTAATTGACATACATCAAACATTTAAAATATCAAACAGATGTGTTTTATTTAACCAGTCATGAAACACTAATAAAAATGAACTACATACAAGGTT